AAGAATGGGACAACATTCCTATTCCTAAACTTGAGCAACTTGTCTCCTCAGTCCCCAGACGTTTGCAGACTGTGATAAAAAGAAGAGGGGATTCCACACAGTGGTGAACATGGCCTTGTCCCAACTTTTTTGAGATGTGTTGATGCCATGAAATTTAAAATCACCTTATTTTTCCCTTAAAATGATGCATTTTCTCAGTTTGAACATTTGATGTGTCATCTATGTTGTATTCTGAATAAAATATTGAAATTTGAAACTTCCACATCATTGCATTCTGTTTTTATTCACATTTTGTACAGTGTCCCAACTTTTTTGGAATCGGGTTTGTATGATGTACTGTCAAAAGTTCATACCTTGTTGTTGCTTGCCTAAACATACCTCGAATTCCACTATGGAATACCTCAAGAGACGCAGGCTGAAGGTTTTGGAATGGCCATCACAGTCCCCTGATTTAAACATCATTGAAAATTTGTGGGTAGATCTTAAAAGAGCTGTGCATGCAAGACGACCAAAGAATATTACAGAACTAGAAGCCTTTTGCAAGGAAGAATGGGAGAAGATCCCAAGTACAAGAATTGAAAGACTTTTAGCTGGCTATGAAAGTGAAAATGTTTGCAAGCTGTGATATCTGCCAGAGGAGGCGTTACTAAGTACTGATTGTGTAGGGTGCCCAAACTTTTGCACCATGCCATAATAATGTTTTTATTTTTTATTTTTGTTCAATTTATGGCATAAGAAGTAACTATGCATCACTGTTTGCTGAAAATATTGTGCATTTTTTCCATTTCCAAGAGAGACTGTGTTAACATCTGTTCAAATAAAAAATCACCAAAATCTGTTATTTATCAAGGGGTGCCTAAATTTTTGCATGAGACTGTACCACTGAGACATAAAATAGGTTCCAGGAAGTCCAGGTTGATTCAGAGATCTATGACTTTGAAGGCATATTTTACTGAAACAGAGTTTTACAACTCCGGAAAGTTAACTCCACTTGCCATGTCAACAGTAAAAATAGCTCTACAAATTTTGTACCAATCTATAAAATACTGAGATATTTCACAGACTAAGTGAAAACTCTACCCTGCTGGTGGTACAACCAGGAAAATTAAGGGATCACCAAATGTCTTTGGATTCATTTATTGGGCACAACAATATTTGTTTCAAATTTCAGGACATGTTCAGTGTGAACCAAAGGGATGGAGCAAGAAAGTGACACTGCTATCCCTACAGCCATGCTACTTGTAGGACTAAACATTTCTTAATGTTAACATGAATCAGTTTATAAGTTTTTATGTCAATTAGATAAAGGTCACACACACCTAAGGAATCTGAGCAGTAACTGCTCCTTTGATCCATGACCGACCTTTCCAAAAGGGTCTATTCAAATCCATTCATATAGAAACAGCCACCCTGCTAACACATGAACAGACAGTGGAAAAAACTCCCCTAGTGCTACGTAGGTAAAAGGAAAAAAATGCCAGGCAACACAACAAGCACAAATTCACACTTACAAACACACACACAGCCATGAACAAAGTTGACAAAAAGTACAGCTGTGTTTTCAAGTATACCCTTGTGGAAAAGTGTTTACGCTCGATCAACTGACATGAAAAGCACATAGAAGGATTTGTTTTGTTTTTGGACCCTTTCTGTCCTGTGCCTTGGCAAACAATATCATCAGTGCACAGGTGTTAAGGAACTTCTTCAAGCTGTCACTCAAACTCAGATCCAAGCAAAATGAATTTCCCAAGTTGTTGCCACAGCAGCTCAAAGTATGGCAATTGAGTGCTGCTGTGCATCAGTCCCCATATCTCAGGGAGTGTACAACCACATGACAGAATGTGTGGGAGGATAAAACATGCCTCACTCGTTCTCTCTTTACTCTTTTCCAAACCATCAAAGGCAGTTCTGCACCGTGACAAACAAAAAGGTTGTGAAACTGTTGAAAAACTGAACAAGTAGGCAGGGAGTTGAAAGCACTGTCTGTGGGGTTGAAGTGAAAGAAGTGCCACTATTTTCTCAGCAGTACTGATGTGTCTGCCACTGCTAATTTAAATGTGACTGTGTGGTGTATATTTGTCTCTTTCAGAATGCCAGTAAATCTCATATTATGTGTCTATGATTACTGTTTTTCTTAACTCCCACCAGGTTTTCAGCAAGTTTCATCGATTTAAATTTAAGGCTTTTTAAGACAATCAGACCACTGAGCGCAATGTCACATCCGTGCTGTTGGCCCTTTTTTTAACTTAATGCAATGGCGGTTAACTACACTTACAAAAACCACTGTAGCACTGCTAATATGGAAACCCGTTTCGATGCATGTTTCAAGAAGTCAACACCCCCTGGTGGCTAGGGGTTTGAAACAAAGTATAAACCAAAACAAAATGGGCCAACATATGCTGTGCAAAAAATAAGAAGGCTGTAGGAAAAAAAAAAAAAAAGTTGACTTTGCCAATAATTTTTGGACAGATTTTTTTCAGTTGGTGTCCAGAGTCCTCAGCACCTCTACTACAAAAAGTAGTTTTAGCATTTTCTCTTTTTTTTTCATTTTATTCCTGTCCAGCTGATTTACCAACATACAGTAAATCCCAAGTTTGACAGCCCACCACCCTGTTATGGTTTTCTTTAAATGTCAGCTAGTGCTACACTGTCCTACAACTTCTTGCATTAGTGACTTAGAAGAATAGCAAGGAAGGAAGGAGGGTATCGTGAGGTAACTGAAACCTAATACACCCCTTAACTGGTAATGATTCCCCTCATTAGGCCAATCACTAGAAAGTTTGACTTCTTTTCAACATGACAGATGATAGATGAGGTTAGATCACACTGCTGGACCAGGCTGGGAAATCTATAAGAGCAGATAAGAGCTGGCTGGGTTCATTAGCCCAGGGCAGCCAAGGAAAACTATCTTAAAGAATGTTCGTGGGAGTGAGTGTTTAATAGTGTGTAAGGGTGTGGGTGTTAGTGTTAGACACAGTAGAAGCTTCCCACTGCATAATAAATGTCTCAGCCTTATAATCTAACATCTGCCAGACTTGGGTGTACTATCCACTGAAAGGCTTTTAATTCTAAAAAGCTGTGCCGACTGCCAGTTCTTGGATGATAATTCTACTAAATTGGACTGTGCCTGAATAAGTGTATCTACAATAGTTGGAAAGTTAAAGACAATAACTACTGTAACAAAATAAACCATCTATAAAACTTTGTTTTCACTTACAGTTAGAGGAAGGAAGAGGAACTCCAGAAAAAGACTGTAGGGACCAGCACAGTCACAAGATTCAAATCCCCACTCCTTTTTCCTACTAGGACTCTACCCACAGACTCACGTTACAACCACCTACCTACAGGAAAACAGGATATGACATAACTACCACTTTCACAAAACTAACATGCAGGCAAACGGTTGTTCTCTTGTGTCAGGTGATGAATGCATTGCTCTTCCACTGTGTGCTGCATGAGAGTTCGGGTGCTCTCTTTCTCGCACATTGTGTCCTGCATGGGTCTATGGAGATGAATACTTTGTGGCAGAAAAAAAGAAATACAGAACAATGGACCTGGTGGCCTACACAGTGCAGCCCCAACCATAAGCAAGCTATGATCGTGACCACCTGTGATAAGATGTTTGAACCCCTTAATTTTACTGCAAACCATGCAGCTTTCCAAAGGAAGTAAAAGCCACATGGATTGTTTTTTTCTTCCCAACTTGCAGACAGATCACCTGTCCCTCTAGGGAAGACACACGATGACCCGCTATACAATGAGGGACATTCGGGCAGAGGTAATTAATCTGACTATGTGTTATTTTGACTGCATATTCATGTTGAACGCTTAGGTTTTGTTGTGATTTCATTCTGTTTTGCCTGGCCAGGGAACTGTGCTTTGCTCATCGTAAAGACGGGATTTACAGGTGCCCGTTTTCTTACTCTCTTGCTATTCTTCTCTCTGGCCTCCTATGTGAGGCTTGTTCATGGTACCTACAACAGCATATCATTTCTTCTAAGCGGTGCCACAGAACTTATTTGTAATTCTACCTGTTTGTACACACAGACAGAAAAACCACACTCCTATACCTAGACTTACAGTATTTTCCTTCAAGAACCTGTCTCTGCAATATAAGATAATCATATTGATTTGCTTTCTAACACCTTCAGCAATTCCATCTTTATGCTGTTACAAGAACAAAACTATCACCCATTAAAATAAGTATTTTTCATTGTCAATAAAAGCCTACAGTTGATTAGCCTTTACTACAGCATACAATATAGTTACGCATGTGTGAGCTAAGTATTATTACTTGAACAGGATGTATGCATGTGTATGTACTCAGATGAAGACTGCATAAGCACAAACCATGCATGTTTGTGGAGATATGTTACCTTCAGTACTTTGGAAAAGACTTCCTGGGTGAGCAGGAGAGATTACCAAGATTAAACTTGTTAGATTGAGGCATGCATATACAACACAAGAGAAAGTAGACTCTTCTTTTCTGTTTTTCCTCTACTATGGCTTCATCTCACTGTCTCAAAAAACTGCCCACTTTTAAAACTTAATTATGAAAATGGACATATGAAATCAAATGCTGAAATGGAAAAAAATTTGATATTAGCAGCAGAATCAAATGACTACAGGTAGGAAGGAATACAGATAGTGCCAAATCCACTGGGAATTAACACCAAGCTGCAGCTTTATTTCATTGTTTTGAGCCTCTGGCCCAGATACTGAATGACTGAGTTTTACCATTCCCACCAACCATCCCATATAATGTAAAACTGTAGGAATCCATTTTCAGCAGACATTTTCAGACAAGGCAAGTTCACACTACTTGCCCAGCATGAAACTACAAAAAGGTGAAGTTAACAAGGGGTATGTTTGGAAAGTTGACCACGTAATAAACTAATGGCACAGCTATTTATCCCAGAAGATAGTGGAAAATACCAGAGCTAAATAGTTTTGAATCACATTGACCATCTATTACTGCAAAACAGGGTCTAAAATTAACCCACCAGGGGTCAAATGCAGGTAGATCTTCCAATTGGCGAGTAAATCTCTGAAGACTAAATGTTTGTCTAATAAAACCGTATCCTGAGAGTCTCTACTGTGGTTGCCCTGCTTCTGTGTCAGAGTTTGAGACACACACCCATATTCTGTGAAGACCTGCCCCTACTCTGCCTCTGACTGGCTTTCTAAGCCAAGCGTAAAAATATGCTTTAGATTGTAGTTGTAGGTGTAATCGGAAGTGATACGCAAGCCGAAAAATGGACAGTGTAGCCAAGCTGAACTGATTAAAATAAGAACGTCTCAGTTACACGTCTCAAAAACACAGCTGAAATGCTTTTGGTGTAGAAAAAGGTGTGACACTTATTGTCCAAGTCTGTCTAACCAATCACCTGAGCATAACCACCACCATTAAGCAACAGAGTAGTGGTCTGTCCCTGCGGAATGTTTGCGTGTGCATGCGCTCCACTGTGTCAGAGAGACCAAACTCCACAGGCAGCGCAAAGAAACAGGTGACTGTAGTAGAGAGTGAGTCGAAAGAGGTGCTTTAAGATGGTTTTACATGATTAATCATCCAATGGGTTTACATAACTTCAAATTTACTTTAGTTTGTCCCTGAATTTTGTAATCACGACTTCTTGAATGTATTGTGGCTTTTAAATTTTAATTCAAAAATGAATTTAATACATTTATTAAGTTCTTATTTGATATAGGCTTTTAAAATAATTGTGCTCTGGCCTCTTTACATTTATATTCAACAAAATCCCTATTAACTCAATAAAATCTTGAATCAAATGTGCATTTAACACAAAAAGGTGATTTATTATTTTGACTGGAAAAAATATGTTTGGCCAGTGGATTTTTTGGCCACCTTGGCCAGTGACTTCAAAAGTTAATTTTGGACCCTGCTGCAACAGTTCAAATAGCAAACACAGCTTTATAACAAAAAGTAAAAAAAAAAAAAACTAAACAATGTAATAGATGAAATACCTGTAGTTTGTCTTCACCATCCCTAGCCAGGCTGCAGCAGGCTGCATCTAGTTCCTTACCCATGGAGGTAAGAATTGCCTCTTGCTCCGTTTCCATCCGCAACACTTTCTCTTCCAACTCTGACTCCAAAGCACATCTCTGCTCACTTGACCTGACCTATGGAGAATGGCAGAGAGCTGAGGGGGGTACACCAAATGCAAATTAACAGTCACTTTCTGGTGTCTTTAGTTATGTCATTTGAATTTTACAAGACAGCATAAAGATGTCGATTTGCAGCAGATTTTCTGTAGAGCAAAGTAAATCCAGATTTACTCATTGCATAGATGTTAGTTACAAGAAGACTGATCTTCAGCATTAGAGAGCTATTCAGTGTCCTATCACACAAACAGACCTAGTTACGTTTCTTTCTCTGGCTGGCCCTGTAGCCACTGTAGATTCAGGGTCTCTACTAGGACACAGTCAATCGATACACTCTAGACACAAGAACCAACTGATCAGTGCTGCCCAGGGAGCATTGATCAGTGCTGCCCAGGGAGCATGGATCATTACCCTGTCCCTTGGATAATAAACCACCCATGATACATTAATAAAAGCCCCCTTTTCTCCATTCACCTGATTTCAAATCAATACACGGATCCCCCCAAAAGAGTCCCTTACAACAAAGTCCTGTCAGTGGGATGAATAGGGGTTTTAGTAACTGAGGATGTATTGATAAAGCCCATTTAAATATAGTGCTGATTTGGCATCGCTTAAACTTCCAAACCATTCTTAAGATTGTAGAAGGGAAGGGAAGCATTGTCCTTCTATGGCTGTTTTTGTTGCATCCTACAGAATGCCACAGTGGTGAGTCCTAAAACCCAGAAATGAATTAGCATTTTTGCACTTTCGGTTCTCTCACCCTGAACTCATTGAGTTTTTTGAATGGGTTTTCGTATAGACGCATGAAATAAGGTCTGTGGTTAACACTAGGACAATACATTTTCATGTTTTGTTCTATGAAATAAAATACGTCAGTAAATACCCGATTCTTAAAAAAGGCGGTTGCTAACAAGTGGCTAAATGAGATTACAGAGGCAGTCTGAGATATTAAACCATGATAATGCTGAACACGGAGACTCATCTACTCACTAGCTCCCCCTTTACAGCTATTCTAACTTACACAGCCATGATCACTAGCTAGACCAGGTCACACTAAAGGGAGAGGATTTTGTAAAAGATGAAAGCACTAAGCGTGGTGGTGACACTGAGGCCATGGCACCGTGGTGTAGTTTGTTTATAACCTAACAATAGCTTTTAATTCTGGCGATTGTATTTGGGCTTCAATAATCATAAAAGTGATGTTCACCTGTGAAGGTTATCTTGTTGAACAAAATGTGTAAGTGTCACAGAGCCTATTTTCAGCAATAACCCAAAAGCTCATGGAGAAATCCCATTAGCTTTTGGTCAACGGAGCCAGAGTGATGTTAACTTCCAGGTTGGCCTACAAAAATAAAAAATAAAACATCATCCAACATCCCCAAAAAAAAGATCCCAGTCCCTTTCGGCATTCTGCTGCAGAAATGTCTGATACAGATGAAGAGATATTTGTCTAATAATTGGATGAAATGTTTGATAAAAAAAAAAAGAAAAAAGAAAAAAGATCCTGACTGCTGCCAAGACAACATATGCCTTTTCTGGATATATCTGCATAGTCAAATACCTTGTTTTTTTCTCCTCATATGCTTTATAAACGTATCAATTAAGCTGTCAAAATTAAAATGTGAAACCAGCAGCATTCAGTAAAGAGCATGCTGCTGTTAAAAATGGAATTGTACAGCTGCTGATGGCACTCACACTGTACACCAAACAGTTTGTCTTACCACTTACATGTCTTTCCCTGTTATGTCCTTGGATTTTGTCTGTCACAATTAATTAGAATCAGCACAAATATTTCATACAGTAACGTCTCCTGAGGATAGATGTATTTCACTGATATGACAGCAGATACTCTGCAGGTTTTGCGCCATTTTGTATTAGTACCTATGCTTGAAAAACATGGCAAAAGAGGCAGGGCTTACTTTGTCATCCAGTTCCTCTTTTAGAAGCTGGTATTTTCTGCGGAGAAGTGCATGCGTCTCATCTTTTGTGCTCAGCTGCGCTGCCAGCTTATCACACTCATCCTTCATTCTGTCCAACTTTATGTGCAGCACCCCGCACAGCTCCTTGTCCGACACTGCATCTGCCTAGTAGAGAGTGGATGTGTTTAAGGCCATGAGATAATAAAAACTAGTGGTTTATCTGATCCAAAAACTTTAACCTAAAGCATGTTGCAGTTCATATTTCTGTTTTTCAAACCCTATACTAAACTGGGAGCAGTACAAGTATGAGTTGTAGTATTCAAAGTTGCCGTTTCATTCACATGCTTTTTGTTTATACTGTATGTGCAGCATACCATATTTGCCAGTGGACCCAAACAATCTGAAAAAGATGCTTAAGTCTGGCAGGTACATGGTGAATTCACATGGCATTCTGTACTGCACAGAGAGCATCATGTATTAGGTCATGAGAATGGGTAAATGCTATTGCCAAGACTCGCAAAGGGTTGCAAAAGCAAATCCATCCTCAGACATTAGAGCTTTCTATCTAGAATTATGACATTATTACAAACAGCTCAATATACAATAAAGTGAAATAAGCAACAATGACTGAGCATTGGGAATGACACAAGCAAAGAAAAATATGGAACAATAGAACTGCTTGGAGTAAGGAGAGAGGGGAAAACAGACGGAAAATGCTAAATCAGAACTGTAGGGAAGCAGTAAGAAAGGGATTAAGACAGAAACGCAGCAAGAGGGAAGATGGAGTGGAGGCTCAATCAAGAGTGAAAGGACAAGAAAATAAGAATATTTTAAGCTTTCTCTAACAGTTGACTGTATCAAAATTGTAATATAGGCTAGGTTTCTGGCTGTGCTCTATAAATATCAGGTGGGCCTTTGCAGCACGCACAGACTAGTACTTAAAAACATTCTAGCAAATACCCTTGCCTTTACTGCACTCAGAAATGACACCATTATATTGAGCTATGTCAGATATTACTGCCATTCAGCACAGCTAATGTGCCAAACTCAGCCATATCAGGAAGAACCATGCCCCTTAAGAAACAATGTACCCATAAGGGCTCATCACTGGAGATACTGAAGGAAGGGAGGGGTAGTGTGCTGGGGGAGTAAGTCAAGAGGAGTCCTGAACTCCAGCACTGCTCTGATGAGACTTCTGAAGTCTGATAACGGGGTTTTTAAATATTCACGCTTGGAGCTTTGTAACAACCATGAGGATCAACGGAGCACCACACACCATTAAGAGCTCAGCTATCCCCGATTCACCCATACTCAAAAGACAGAGCCCTGGCCAATAAAGAAAATTATTCTAAATGAGAATTTTGTCTGGGTCTCGCCGAGTCGGAAATATGCCAGATGTTTAGTGGCTGCGGCATCTTTCCCTGTACTGAATTTGAATTGTGTGCTAATGATGCTCTAAATGTCAATTGGAGTGTGGCACTCTGTGATCCATGCCCAGGTATGAAGAAACATTTCTTTGGTTGGCTTATGACCTTGACATCTCAAAAGATCTGACAAATTAGGAGTGTGAGAGTGTGTGTGTGTGTGTGTGTGTGTGTGTGACATCCGATAAATTATCCAGAGCTCAGCAGTGCTTTTTAATACAACCAGCAGAGATTCCAGGCATGAACAGGTTCTGAAGTTTGTTACCTTTGAACACAGCCAGGCTAGCTGTTTTCAGTCGTTATGCTAAGCTGGCTCTAGTGATACAGATGGTACAGATATTAGAGTGATATCATCTAACTCATCAAAAAGCAAGTAAGCATATACTGCAAAATGTCAAAATAATCCCTTAACTGTACATTTCCTCTATGGGGAAAAACACAAACATAATTATAAAAGGGCATACCATAACCTCTTTCAGGAGTGCTTGTATTTCATCTTGTTGCCGACGGCAGGACTTGTGCATGTCCTGTGCTTCACGTTCCTTCTTTATCCTGCGATCCTCCATCATGGCCTTCATGTTGTCTAGTTCCTTGTGATGCACCTCTCTCTCAAGCTGCAGCTGTTGCCCCAGTGTAGCCCGCTCCTCCTGCACCACTGTCAGCTTAGCCTGCAGTTCTGAGACACCTTTCTGAAGCTCCTTCTTGGAGCTCTCCTCCTCAGCTAACCGCTGGGCTAGTTGGGCATAGGCTAAGGTCATCTGCTTTAAATTGGCTTGGAGCTCAGCTTGTGTGTCCTTGTCTCTCTGACTACGACGCGCTTCTGTGTCAGCTCGCTCCTCCAGCCTCTGGTTCTCCTCTTTAAGTCTTGCTTGGATGGTGGTTTGACGCTGAGCCTCACCTTCCAGGGCAGCTGAGGCCTCCCTCACCTAGGGTCAGGAGAGATATTAGGATCTTATCAAAGTCTGTGCAGATTCTCAATCATACAGGTCATAGTAAGCTGAAAAAAACTCCAAGAACTGATGAAGCCTCTTGGATGAGAGGTTAAACGTCTTCGACCTAGAAATCTAGTCCAGTTGAAGTTTTTTTTTCAGATCTTATCAAAGCACTTAATGACTCCTTAGCTGTATAATTTTCACTTTAACACCACCTTAATATGAGCAATACAAATTGATCTTCCAACAGAAATCAAATTCTCATTCATTTCTGTGGTCAGACAGGGATTTGTACAAGAATGCAGTTGTCCTGGGCCCTGCATCAAGGGGGTGCCCAAAATGGCCCTCTAATCTTTAAACAATATGCCAGAAAAATCTGTCAAAAATACACATTTGTGGAAAAAAAAAATGGTTTGGTCTGTTATGCTACTGTAATGGGGAGTTCACACATGTAAAGATCACAAACAGCCAGTCAGGCACTAAGAAAAGAAACAAAAAACAAAAAAGAGAAAATGACAAGCAGAGGTGCAAGGAACATTATGGTAAAGTATTTAAAAAATATACTTAAGTACAAGTACAACCCCACCACATAGTAATCGAGAGTGAGGTGAGACATCAGTTTAAACATCTGCCAAGCACAGCTACTACCTAAAACCTAGTTTTACCTTTAACATCCAATTATTAGCTTGTATACAAGCTTAACATAATGTGTCCTCTGACAGAAACAGCTGAGACTGGGGATATGAGGAGAGGCCCAGCCTGCAGCCGAGCCTCGCTGCGCCAGAGAGGAGAGGAATGGAGAAACAGTGCAGGTTTGGACCGTTTAAAGATCCCAGTAATAGTTTTCCCATATAAACTAAAGTAATATATGATCAGAGGATTAAATGATTTTATCAGTTTTCCATCTTCCTATGATTAAATTTCAGTGGTGGGGTTACAGTTTTACTGTTATATTATATTTGGATTAAATGTGTGGAAGATGAGAGTTCTTTTGCTGTGTGCAAATTAAGGCATATGCTCGTATGAGATCTGTGCATCTGAGGGAGGAGGAGCGGGGTGGTGAGGAGTGTGTGCTAAAACAATGCTAAACAAGCATTCTGAAAAAGAAAATTGATATACAGTATGCCTTAGCACAACTTCAGTTCTGGCTGACTACTTCCAAAAAGACTGCACCACAACACAACACCCAAATAGCTTGATGGTGTCTGTGTGATAGGGTTTATTCAAATGAAGACTGTGAATTAGTTTTGCAAATAGGCTGGTCTCAAATTTGAGCAACAATAAAAATGACTAAATACACACTGTTCAGTAAAAATTTTACTCCTATGAGTAAAAAAAATATATATTATTTTTCTGTGTCCCTAGTGATTTGAATGAGAAATTGTATTTCTGGATGTTCGACTCCACACCTCCCGAATTTCGTGTTCCAGTGACAACTGACGCTGGCGGTTCACGGACAGCTCCACATCCTTGCGGTGGAGTTCTTCTTCACGCTGGGCCAAACGGCCTAGGATCTCAGAAAGCTCCCTGCGGGCTGCTTCAGCCTGCTGGCTCAGCACCTTCAGCTGGGCCTGAGAGCTCTCCTTTTCCCTGGCTGCCTGGAGGAAAAGGAGGCAAGAGAGTGAGAGGAGAAGATGAGAAGGAAAATGAAGAATGACAAATGAAGAGAAGAAGGAGGATGGTGTACAAAGAGGAGCTCTAACAATAATGATGAGACCAAGAGAAAGAGTGACAGAGAGACACAGAGAGAGAAACATATGCAGTACCAGTGCTTGCACTGATAGGAAAATGCTAGCACTCAGCTCCCTGATAAGGGACAATGGTCAGGTCTGTTTAAGGCAGATTGCTTCTAATACTCTGGCTTTGACTGGAGTTTGCAAAGACTTTGCTGTAGCTCAGAACCTAATCATTTAATTGAGCACTTGATTCTCTCTCCTAATTCATTAAGGGGCAGAAATGATTTTGTAATTAATTCACATCACGTCAAGTATGCCAGGTGGGAGTCTGTCTGTCTGTGAGGCGTGCGCTGCTGACTGAGTTTGGAGGTGACTCACTCAGTTCAAATGAAATGGAAATCAGTGAGAGGTGACTTTCAAGCTAATAATAATAGCCAGCCGTTAATTATTCAACTAAGAACAACTGCTGTAACATACTAAGCAAAGGTACTCTGACTACCTGACTTCATGTTTCATGTTGTAAAGTTAATTCAAAATGCATTATTCCAGAGATTTAATCTGACTTTGATAGAAAGCCTTCTATGCTATAAAGACAAAACAGTCTAGTATGAATTAAAATGAAGAGAGAAAAGCCTGCAAGTATCTAACCAATTTGCTTTGTTTAGATTGAATGACAAAATAAATAAAACCCTGCAGAATATTATGTATTCCACATATTGTATGTGCCTTATAAAATGACAGAATATTCTCCTTCTCTTTACCATAAGAGGAATGCAAGTGACAAACTATGAACTGCAAAGCCTAGGTATTCACTGTCTATCTGGTGCTTCCGTTGATTTTCCAGTCAGTTTCTACTATGAAAGGCAATAGAGAAACAACCAGCAAAACTAAAATATTTAAAGTTGTGCATGTCCCCAGTGATGAGAGGGTGCTGATTTATTTCTCCAAAAGGGATCTAAATTTTAAATGTCCGCCATACTGCAAAAAAGGAATGAGGAACTCTGCATAGAAACACAGACCTGCTAAACAGCTTTGAAATATAACATGTCTAGCGTGGCGCTACAAATCAGTTTACTACAGGAGCTGAGAAATGCATCTCAGTAGAGACAGTAATGCTTATTTAACTTAAAACACACTGCCAAAGTCAAAGCAGTTATGTATGACTCAGAGTCCACTTCTAAGAATATGCAACAAAGACAGTCAGAGGCTCAGCTGCTGTGCTGCCAGATGGCTAGCTGCTAGCTCAGCGGCACTAACAGGAACATTGGAGACCGAGCCGCCTGGAGCTGGCGAGCAGAGTTAACTCGGATTTGTCTGTAGATACACACCACCAATAACTATCAATAATCTGAAGTTAGACTGATCAAGGTCTGGTAAGCTTTTGTTAAATTCTGTTTTAAGTGTGCGTCCAGCTGAGAGCTTTCACTTTGTTCAACAATAACTGAAAAGACCAGCCACTGCAAACAGAACAAGAATGCAGCTGACTGCTGAACAGTTTTGACTGACTATAATGAGCACACACACAGAATATAATTAACTCCAGCTAATGAGAAGCACAATCATTGCTTTGTCTCATGTTACCAACTGAAAACTTTTAATTATTATTGAGTGGTATAACATACCACAGTAAAATATAAAGTGTCTGTACATTTTTCTTCCAGCTGCTCTAAGGCTTTACCACCAAGTTGCCTGATACACACTGCGCTGTGGAATATTCTACACAGGGGAGTCTCAGTTTCGTTGTCAAATGAATGCTGATAAAGTGTTTTTAATTTGAACAGATGATACCAGCCAAAAATACAGACTGGACATCCAAATAATTCAGTGCAAAAATGTAGTTTTAAAGAGGCATTCAGTGACCTAATATTGCACTTCTTTAACATTAGGAGATCTAGGAGATGTAGATGAAAACAGCAGAAGCCAAGATATCCTGTATTTTAGTTCCTAGTATGGGTCAACCTTCACTTACATTTCTCATAACCCAACTCAACCATATCATTCCTATTTCCAATGAAGTTTTACAGTTTCACTCTTTGTACTAGCTAGCTAATTCTTGAAATAAGGCAGAATAAGGCAGGTCAGTCCATTAGACTCAATAGTTTGCTGAGATGGATTTATCAATGTGGAGAGTAGGGCTGGGCAATATGGCCAAAAATATTATCACAATATATTTTTTCATACTGGTTGATAATTGATCATTTTCGATATATAAATGTAATGCAATTAATGGTGGACACACATTCAACATGTTTGTTAAGATCTCGAGGATGTGATGGTGAAAACTACTGTATGTAAAGTTTACAGGAAAACTACTGGATACTTTTTAATTTGAATTTCAGTTCAGTTTTGGATCGAACCTGAGATAAATCACAAGGTTTATTGTGCTTCTAAACAATACCCTTTTAAAATCATTAACTTGACACTTTTCATGGTCAACATGGTCAAACATTTATCCTTATAATCTCATGCAAGGTCTGCTGTGCAGCTAGACTACATGTCAGTGGTGGTGACAAAGTGTGTAAAGCTGCATTCTGCATAAAGCTGAGGCAGCACTGTTTTTGAAAATGTCCATCCTGCACCTCTACACCAGGAGTCAGCCACTTTCATTAGCTTTTCAAACTCGGTGTTTTCACTGTTCTAAATATTGTCATGTCTTTTTCTATGAAATGTGAAATTGCACTCGCTGTGTTCGTGCTTCTTTTTGAGCTTTTATTATGTTAAGTAATGAATAACAGTCTCTTTATGCATACTGGGAAAGAAATGTTACCTTTTCTAATGGGGGAAAATGTTTGGTGTTTCGTCGTTTTCTGACTTTTATCAGCACAGGTCGCTGCATATTTTACAGCAGATGTCACTCTGTTGCTTATTCAGCTTTAAAAATTCAATCCATTTCCAAAATAGTGATGTTGTGTGACCTCTCTTATGTCACCGTTCCATGCAGCCGTCCTCCTCACTGTTGTATTTCCAACTGCTGTGCATTTTCCTTGCTTTGGCCCAATACATAGAACTCTAATGCTGTGGTCTAACAGGATGACTGTATAGTGAGATGTTCAGATGCAAAATAGACACATTTATCTATCAAAGACGGCATATTTGTCTATCATCATTATCAGAGATTTTTACTGTACCGTTTTATCGACCCAGGACTAAGTGAAGAGAGAACCAACACTAGCAAGATCAGCCGTTACTCGGTTACAGCTACTACTGTAAGCTGTGGAGTTGCAAGTCGTGTAATCGATGCATCTGCTTCAAATGACCTGCGAGACCTTGTCAGTATGGAACTGAGCTTGGGCCCTTGTCTCCTCCAGCTCCTTCTGCAGTCTCCTACACTTTGCCCTCCATTGGCGCACTGCCTCCTGGGCCCTGGTCTTCAATTCATCTCTGCTCCGCGTGCTCTCCTGGAGTAATGCCTCTGTCTCCCTCCTCTCCGCTTGCCCTCGGCTCTGAAAGGATGATTGAATTTATGAATAAAATGTATATACATTCATTCGAATCAGAATCAATACTTTTAAACCATGAAGCGGATCCTAAAATGTCTCATAAACCTAACTCGGAACAATCTCATTACTGCAGCCTTAGTTTTTCGTGTCTTTACATTATAATTGTGAAATTGAGGCCCAAAACAAGACTCTAAACACAGCATGTTTCTGATTTAAATTAGCACTACAAAAAGCACTCCTTGCTTAACATCCCTGATTTAATTTAAGAATGTACTAATGAACTAAGGTGTGACATAGTAACCAATCAAAATACCTGTATCTCCCTCAACTGTTCAAGCATTCGTAGCTGCTGTTGCTCCTGTCGCACCAGGTTTGATGACAATTCCTGTTGTATAGAAGGGATAAAAGTCAGGAACCTGTGTGTGTTTGTATGAGTACTACTGCTAAAAGACAAAGTCAGGTGGGAATGGAGACACAGAGATGTGCAAGAATGAGGGCAAAGGAAGCTAGGAAAAACAGGGGCAAAAGCTGATGTTTAGGAAGAGAAGTGAAGCAGAAAAGGATATGATGATGTAAAGATAAAAAGGTCATAGAAAGTTTAGACTATGTTTACATGCTGCCTACAACTGGATTATCTGATAAGCAGATCTGAAAAGTAGTGAGAAATGAGACCTGCACTGGATTAACTTCATATCTGCAAGAAAATCACAACCACTTTAAAGTTTCAGGTTTGACTGAAGTCTAAAGTAAGAGCAAGTAAGGTCACCCTGGTACCATTTAAATAGGTATTTATAATGAGTAACATTGTCAGTTAGGAGCAATTATCCATAGACTGATTAGTCATAGACCTATTAGATGGCATATAAATTCAGTCACTGAAAAATTGAATCTTCCACCCTATTCTCCTCATTATACTCCTTTTTTGCTCATTTACCATTCAAATTAAACATTTCCAACATCTATTTTGATCTACACATAAAAACCTTAAGAGATGCCCCAGGTGATGCATGCAAAAACCCACTTCAGCGTTTAACATTTACTAAGTGTGGGAATTTAAATGCATTTTCAGTAAAAGAAACATCAGAGTTTAAAGTGTGCCAATACTTAAAGTGCAGATATTTCTACTACCATTTTATTGATATCCACTATGGCCTTGAACACCGCTGCTCAGCAAGAGGATGTTTTTTTGTTTTATTATGTCTTGTTACAGTGATGGAAATGACACATCACACCAGAATGAGAAGGATAAATGACTGCTGATCTCCTATTGCAACTGTCACTTTGTCTGACAATTTTAAAAGGATCATGTGCCATGGAGCTGGTGGAGGATGCAACCATGGATGTGAGGCACCCTACGAACCGAAATAGCCCTGCTGAGGGTGGAGATGCCAGCACAAGCAGACCTGTACGTCCAGCTGAGAGATCCTTAGTGTTTCTCATTTATACTGCTAAGACAGCCAAATGGACAACTAAGGAAAACATATAATGTCTTCTCTGAATCACTGGTGTTGTAAGCTCTTAGTGCAGTTTTACACAATTTCTCCGATACACACCTCTACCTGTAAGCTGAGTTGGATCCTCTCCTTCTCCTTGCGGTCCAGAGCCCTCTTCAGCTCTGCCACTTCTTTTTCCAGGTCCAAACGATCTATGTATGCATGCACACACACCCGCATGCACATAATCAAATTGTTGCTACAAATTATTACAGCACATGGATACAAGAACAATAGAACACATGGTGACCAAAAACTAGAGGACACCACTGGCTTCTTTTCTTAAAAAAACAAAACAAAAAAAAAACAGGAAACAAGCCTTGGGAGCATTTTTTAAATGAGATAGATATTTAAGCAGATTTTGATTTCTTACTCCAAAGAAACAACTTGGATGGCATGGCTCACTGTCAATCACTTCACTTCAGGCAGACCAAGAGTTGACAGATGTGAACAGAATATAAATGAAGTGATAAGAATTGAAAATAAGGCAGGATTCTCAATGTGTTATATTATATCCATAAACAAAGACTCTGATACAGTATAGAAACAAAGATGTTATCTTAAATTAGTGAACCAATCTATGTGAAAATTAGAATTTAAAACTAAATCAGCTAAAAATCCCTATTACATATTAAAATACTAAAAAGCCTCAGACGCTTACATCTGTCAGTTTTCAAGCTTTCACTGGCCTATAAGGCCCATTCTCCCTTCCTTCTACCTTTCATTCCATCATCCACCCTCCCTGTCTTTAATCCAGCAGAAGGCAATCCATGTATACCATCTGAAGACTTACTTTAAGGAGAAGCTGATACTTAAAAATAACAAGATGTAATACCAGCTATTTCTATAGTTAGTGACTTGGCAATCTTTACACCAAATCCTCTTGTTTATGCTCCCTTCCTTCACCTCCAGTATAGACCTAAATTCAGTACCTGACCCTCGCAGTCCACCTCTTCGCTCCTCCCTGTCAGTGTGGTTGCCATGTGGCTGAGCAGTGGACTGAGAAGTTTCCAACCAGGTCCTCTGAAGCTCTGTCTTCTCCTTCTTCATCCTGAGCAGCTCACCACGCATGTCCTCCACCTGGGGATTATCAGCCATATGTGAGACAAAGACGTCTGACCATCTCACAACTGGAAAAACAAGACTGTTTCTTAAGTTTTCTTAAAAAAGCTCATCACTGCTTATCGTTTTGTCTCACTGGGTTTACTATTCGCAACACACCTGCTGAATAAGGGATGCTTTGCTATCTTCTGATTGTTCCAGGAGTCTTCTAGCTCTCTCCAGCTCCTGCCCCATCTGAGGAAAGCAGAACAACAAGAGCATCAAAACAGTACATGATGAACATGTTTTTAACTAATGAGAGTCAGCGGAAGCCTCGGGTAATGCTTTGTAAGCTTCAGAATGAGTGTCACCCCTCAGTCTATCATTAGGTATGCAGCATCTACAATCTACAAGTTTAGAATGTACACAATTTGAGTTTGTTTGATAGGCACAATAATGAAATTGAATTTTCAGCTAAAATGTTTTGATATACTAATAGCCTCTGTACAAATCTGAATACTAACTATGTAGCTAATTTCAGCAAAATGATGCTGGAAAAATAAGGTAGGAACTTGTATAGGGCAAACTTTTACGCTTATTTCTTTCAACTGTTTGGGAATTTCTACTTTAATATCTAAGCAATCTTAATCCATTCACCTTGGATTTCTCCCTCTCTGCTCTCAGTAGCCTGCCACTCGTGGCCTCTCTTTCATGGGTTTGAACTTGGCATCCTCCTAAAGTCTACAAAACAAACAAAATCACAGCATGTTACATACGCTCACACATAAATGAGTACTGTAAAAATGCAACATGAGAGATGCTCTTGCATCACAGTGTTCCCCCATCTCATCTTCTTGGAACAAGATGCTGGATTTGCACAAGGGCTTAGATCCCATTCAATCCCATTTATTCTGAGCAGGCTGTGTTGATGAATTAGCGGCTGCTAGCAATAACATCTACCCAAGTGACTCATCATCTAGTTGATTCACATCACAGTGGGCCCATCAGTGGGGAATAAATGTGCCCTCTTCTCCCCCTCCTCTTCTGCTCTTTAGTAGGAAAAGAGATTATTTTCCTCTTCATTTCCTCATGCTTGTTTATTTACCCTTAATTTTTGGACAAATGCATTATTTCCCATCACCCTGGGCCCTGCTGGTGTCCCATTAGGACACTATGGAGGAGAGGGATGCAAATGAATTGGTGACTACTATCATTACACAGTGTTGAGGACTATAGCTCAAGAAGGTTATCATCAGTCTGGATATGGCTACACAGCGCCCCTCTGTGGTCTTAAATATAAACTGCAGCAGGCAGGAGACATTAAAAGGATTTATGCAAAGACACTTGTTTATACAACACAAAACACTAACCTCCACACCAGTAACCAAGAACTAATGGTTCAGTTAGGTTTTAAAAAAAAAGGACTAACAATATAGATCTAGCCAATATAGAATAGTGTTGATAAGGATGATTTCTGTGGAAAGTAGCAATATTTCTAATCAAGATAATGTTTTTACTGAGTACACCTAGCTATGAGTCTGCATCACTAAGCTGCACCTAATGACAGAGCTCTCACAGGTTCACAGGTATTTGTGCTTTCAGACAAATGCACACCTAAAATACATGACTGGCATAAAAGAAAAGAGAGCAGCAAGTGCTTGCTAAGCAACCATTTCCACTGCATCAAAGTAATTGGTTTGGTGTGCTTCATCTCATAAAGCGGCACAAGACAGTGAGGTGACAGTTTGAACACTGCTTTAACAAGGATGAGTGGCAGTACATTAGAAAAAAAACCCCTTCGGTAAGACACAGTGCCCCAGCATGTGCAGAGAAATTTGGCATTTTTTGTTCTGTGACTGTATTCAAGCATATCTGATGGACATCACTTGTCACTGCAGTAATAAATCACTGTATCTAACTGTGTGGAAAATTACAAATCACACCAATTATACTGTAGTTAGTGGCTTTGGCTGACATCTTCTGTGACTTCTTTTTGAAAAAGGAATAATTACTCAACAGACATCACTTGAAAATGCTTCAGTAGTCAATTTTTTACCATTATCAAGCTTCCATTTTAACATTTTAGGCAGTCAGAATGGGTTTTTTTTTAAATGAGCAATAATACTTGTTTAAATGTCAATGGTCTGTATTACTAGTCAGGAATAATCAACAGGTATTTATTCATACTGACACTCCTGCGTGAGTAGAAAGTCCTGGTGACTTTCTTTTTCTGTAATGCATCAGTCAAATGCTGAAAAGACTAAGACTCTACAACCATGCGTGTACCTAGACACGGGTGTGTTGGGCCAAATGCTAACACGCTGATGTTTAGAAAATGCCTACTATGTTCACCATTATTTAGCATGCCAAGATTTTCTAATAAACACAAAACATAAAGTACAGCTGATGTTGCTGGGAATTTAATTAGCTGTGTGCAGATTTTTGTTCATAAACCAAAGTATGGGATACAATCAAAATTTTACCTCATGGTCCCACTAGACAAAACATCAGAGGATCAGCAAAGTCAGTGGGTTTCTTCCTCTGGGGATGAACAATGTTGATCAACCATGCCGCTATTAAAGCTAAAAACAATATTTTATTGAATGGGACTTAGTACTAGAAGGTATTAGTAAAATTATTTAGGAATGTAATGATTCCCCCCTTATACTACACACCTCTTGACTAGTTGGTCTCAGACATGTTAAATTAGCCTCAGCCTACTGAGATACTGTAGTAGAAAATCCAGCTTTGAAGTCACCATCACTGTAACAGTTTACTAAAATATGGTTTTTAAACAATTTGGTGAAATATACTGATATTTTTTCCCCATTTTAGCTACCTCCAGTGCAGTCGACAGAAAAGGACTGCATTAAACCAGTAATCAGGAGTTAGTTTACTGTAACGAACTAGCCTTTTCTCTGCGAGCATCACTTGGCTGGAAGGTACTTCCAAAGAATGTGAGATTTGACAACTTACTGTACTTTTGCTATACAGCTGAAAATTTGGTTTTTCGAGACACAACAGAGCTAATATGATATCTGATATAATTTACATATATATTTATTTATATATATTTATTTATTTATATATATCCTGCTCTGTCAGTGCCTTTCTAGTAAGGTCTGCATGCAACATCTGACATCTAATGTTGATTGCACTATGTTCTTGTTTATGAGCGGCATGTGACGTGTATTTAGTACTTGTAAGACTATAGTTTTGCAGCTGATGATAATCATTATTTATTTGTCATATGTTCTTGTGTCTGTTAATGTGTGCTGTCCCTAATAAATAAGTGAATAAAACAGAGTATAGTTGTGTTCCATCCCGCTGTCTGTCCACATGCTCCCATTGAATTTATGTGACTTCACATTCCCATTAGAATATTTTTGGTGTTCTCTCTGAATGTGAGAGAACACAAGAGTGTCAACAGGGAGGTGTGAGAAGGAGGGATTGCAGCAGATAAGTTGGGGAGGAGTGTCACCTCCTGCAGCTCGTCAGACATGGCCACCCGCTGCTCAGGCCTTCTCTCTCTCTCTATGATCTTTGGCTCTGTGTGCAACTCTCTCTCCAGCTCCTGCAGACGCCGCTCCACATGAGATGACACCTACAGACAGTGAGAATGAGGACGCCTCAGGTCACGCAAACATTGCCAATGCAGTAATGGCAGCAGGATGTGATAAATAAGACAACAGGAAATTAAAAGTGTGTGTGACAAAAACTGACTGAAACTAAATGGAAGAATTACATTCACAATGCAGGAATTCACTGTCTAATCAGGAAGCATCACATTCACCTGTATAAGACAGTTATTACCTTTATCTTGTCACATTCACTGCCATGACAAGATAAAAAAAATATTAAAAATGTTGGCTGTCATTTCATGCTGCATGTTTTTCCACAGTGGTGACGATGCAGTGAGGGATCATGCTGCAAATGATAGTGAGATATTTGCTAAAGTTAGGAGTCCTTTGAAAAGTAGAAAGCATTTGTCCATAGCAGCTTTCTATTCAGAAAAGAAAAATATTGACATATTCCGTGATTTATACAGCAGCTTTCATCCATCAGTAACTGTGACGTGATGTTCTTAAATTACGGAGGCCTCCACTCTTCTTTTCATGTTCACAGAACTAAAAAGCATACTTGATGTATTGGCAGTGAAATATGCAGTCACAACTCACCAATTCCTGTCTCTGGGAAGTTGTCATGTGCTCTGTGAGGCTCTCCATTGCCTGCCTGGTGTCAATATCAAACCTATAAAAAAAAAAAAAAAGACAGACAAGTCCAGAGCAGTGAGTATATTTACACAACAGAGTTCTCAGTCATTTTGCAAAAAATCCTGTTCCAGGACATCACTGATCAAAATGTGACTGCATAATGTGATGCCACTAAAAATTATTATGCAGCTTCATATGTTGAACTATGATGGTGGATCAATCTGGTCAGGAAGGGAGGAGAGATTTTTTTAATAACTTCAAAATGTTACATTCTAATGCATGTTGAAAGATCTCATGCCTTTTGACTTTACAATGCGGTCTGTGACACTTTTATCACCTTTGCATCTAAGGAGATTTCCATGCATTTATTTTCAAAGCTCAAGCAGAAACTTTTTTTGCTCTTTCACTCTTACAGAGGATATGAAAATAAAAGATCAATATCTGGCACTAGTCTAGACAGAATAGAAAATAATGCAGAAAATTCTGTATGTGGCCAGATGTAAAAAAAAAAGGCCTGTATGACAGCACCTTTACTGTGACACCTTGCCTGATAAAATAGCGACTCGTGAAAGCAGCTGTGTTCGAGGTACTGTGCTGCATGGAAATGATAAACTGGTATGCTGTTTTGATGTTCATACTTTGCCCCTACTCTCAGATACCTATTCCTCCTGAGGATTTCTCTATCCAGGTCATCAGACAGTCTCTGCTGGTCACAGCGCAGATCTCTCAATGATTGGTGCAAAGTATGAATCTATGCGAGACAGCCAGAAATACATACAGAACACAAAATGTAAGACAAAAAGCACATCAGAGCTAGCCATCATTGCATTTACAGAGATTTATATCTGTAAAAAAACGAACAAAAAAAACAAACAAAATCAGCAATTTCTGCTCTGAATGACGTAGGGGTGCAACAGCTCTGAAAACAGACCCGGACCCAAAACCGCAAACACCACCACTAAGCACAGTAGCTATCGATGGGCAATGTCTATTGAACTGGTATCAGACGATGTGTACAGTAAAACACTGCAATGGCATTAGCGGCGGTGGCAGGGGGGTGCTACCTGGCAGTACTTTAGGTTAAAGAAACAACACACAACGCTAAGGGAAGTGCAGGATTTGTTCTTATGTAATATAATGTAAAAGATGACAGACAACACATCTTCATGAAACAAAATTAAAGCAATATCAGAGAATCTGTAAATAAATTGGGTAAATTCCAATTAGATATATCATTAAAAATTGCAGAAATATAATTTATGTGTGGGTATTTAATTAAATTTTTTATTTTAACTTCTGCTTACTACTGTACCTGATCCTTGTAAGTGTGTTCTTCTCTTTAGTGTTTCAAAACTGTTGGCAATTTAACAAATCCCAGAAAAAAAATTGTTTTTTACATATTCACCACCAATTACATAAAAAACTGAGGAATGAACTGAACCATGGCTCAAAAACTGAGGTCTGAACTGAGCCACAGATTTAGTGAACTGTTACACCCCTAAAATGAAGTTTTATCAAGTCCTTTATTTATCAATTTTAGCATATCAAATTTCATATTTGTGTGCCCTCTTGTGGCAATTTTCTGCAACTACATGAAGTAACAAGAGGCACTGATCGATAGCTGGTTTGTTATTCCTTACACCTTCTCCTGCCAGGCTGGCATCCTTGACACCTTCTCCTGCCAGGCTGGCATCCTTGAAACGAACACCAACAGACTGAGACCTCCTCCTCCTCCTCCTCCACCCTGGAATGCCTGTATAGTCCCTCATTGGAGAAGTAGGGTAGAAACGCTGGTCCTCTGAAATCCCAGATGAACTGATGTTTGTTTTAGGAAACCACATTATAAAGCAGTAGCCAGATCTTTTGAAAATTAACTGGTTACTTAGAAGAATGTTCAATCAATCACAAACTCCACAATGATACTTAAGGTGTGCAATATTTTAAAAAACATTTTTGTATTTTATGCCATTTTTGTGTCATCAGCCTATATTATCCACAACTATGACTACAACCATAATAGAGCTGATAACAAAACCCAACATACCTGATCCTGAGCGATCCTCTAGGTCACTGGTATGCAGTGTAGAGGCTGAGGCTGAAGCCCCATTGGATCTGCCAAGTCCCCTCGTCTGTAGCTGACAGATTGACTCCTCCAGGTTATCCCTGAGCTGGTGAAGGAGAGGAAATGCACTCATGATTGACAGGCCAAGAAAACACTGATGTGAAGCCAGCTGTATCTTTAAAATCTAATTATATTATACTTAAATAATTAACTGAAGGGGGGGTTTCACCAGTGCCATTGCTTCAGCCTGATCATCTGTATGCTCCTTGTACTGGCCCAGCATCCGGTCTACTTTGGTCAAGTTTCTACTGGTGTCCTGACACGGAAAAGAAGCCATATGTTAACAATTACTTAAATATATTTTGATTAATATAAAAGGAGCGTGGATGTGACGTTACCTGTAAAGTGTTTGCTAAGGTATTGATCTTCTCGGAGATGTCTTCTACTCGATCATCAACTCCACCCCCACTGGCCCTGCTCCTGTCGCGGCCAGGTCTGCGGTGGGCTTCACGCCCCCTAGGCCTGTGTCCTTGAGTCCTGTCGTATGAATCTGACTCGCTGGATGTGTCCATAGTTTAGGGAGGAAGGGGCGACGTAAAAAGTCTAACTAGGCTAATATGACGATTGCTAACAAATAATAACGTTACCTTCGGCGGAAAACGCTGTCAAATGCGACGTTAATCAGATTAACGTATAATATATAATGGACTTTATTTACAATCGCTATTTTTGTCATAGTAAAAAGATATGGAAGCTTTGACATCGTTACCTTAACAAACCGTGGGGACAGAAAGCTGCCTGACCAGCAGAGCACAGGCATTCAAACTACTTCCCTTCCCAATCAAACAGTCCTGGGCATTGTTGTAAATGATGCTCCTCCTGATTAGCAACAAGTGGCAGCTAGCTAGCTAACCAAACGTTAGCCAACTAATTTAGCCCTATAAGAATACCGTAAGGACAACAAAATACTGCATGCGTCCAAAGGAAAGAGAGGAAATACATGTTACCGCTACAAATACATCACACAGGAGACGCTTGTTTGCTGCTTTGTGAGTGATAGCTAACGGAAGACCAACCCTCAGCTTCCCCGTGCTATGGCAACTTGAACTAGCCGCGTCTGAGCAGGAAAACAACAAACCGCTGCTGTTCCAAAGCGTGCCGGGAACTGTAGGCGCTCAACAATGGAGCAGTGTGGGAATGTATTATTTGTGAACTACATCGTCCAAAGGGATGCGTTTGCGGATGTATTGCCGCTCTTTGGCTGGAAAAAATAAAGACTTATAAAATTAAAATAAAAATTTGAGGCAGTTTCTGTCAAAATTCAGACAAAAACAATAACAGTGAAAAAGGGTAAATAGGAGAGAATAAAAGTCAGGGCGTTTTTGGATCTAAAATTATTTGTACAGTTTGCACCTGGACTTTCGGACTAAGAAGCCGTCAAAGCTGCCCTGAGTTCCTTTCTCTCATTGTTTGCTTGGTTGGTTGGTTTTGGTAATTTTCAGCACATCATTCATCATGTATTCATTCTTCATGTCTTAAAACCTCAATTTATTTTTGAATGTGGTTTGCTTTCATAATTTTTTTTCTTTTTATTTTTACTTCAAACCGCACTTTTGATTATCCTTATGTGTGTTCTCCCTCTTTTTATCAAAAACTTGAGCCAGGTCATGACAAAATTTTTGTTGAATGACACCAGAGCAAACAAACTGACAACCTATCTGGGTGTACCAAAATGTAAATCTGACAACTCTTATTCAAAACATGCTGGATCAAGTTTTTTTTATTTTTGATGCTTTAATTATAAAGAAGGATACATTTTTCACATTTTCCATCAGAGGTGATGACATTCCTCAAATCAACCCCGACCTACTCAAATATTACAACATAATATACTCACACCATCTCAATGTTTATAGTTTTATTTGTAGACAATAGAAAGTGCAATTATGAATAAACACTGTGTGAAGGTTTGGCAGGATGTGATTACTGTTTGCGCCATGGGTGGATTTGGGGAGGGCCTCATACAAGAATTTTGCTTCTGGCCCCAATTCGACCTGCCTGTTCTTGTACTCTAGGGCAGTTAAGAATGATGCCACCTCTGCTCCTCTGTCCCAGTGGGTCGACAGCAACACCATCACTTCAGAGCCTGTGCCTGATGAGTTATTAGTGATGGCACCGCTCCAGCTCCTGCCCGTCTTCCTGAGAGGTCCCACCTTCAATACCGGCCTGCTGGGGATATGTAATAATATTAATAAAGAGCCCCCCTGTGGTTCCTTAGCAATAACATACACTCTCTCACAAACTACATCTTGTGAAATTTTGACCAAATTGGGATGCAAGCAACAGAAAACCTTTAACTAGATCATGTTACAAGTAGGCTCCCTCTGGCTGAGTATCTGGGTGTCTCGTCTGGCACAGGTCCCTCCAACTAACAACACATACTGTATAACAACAAAACTCAATAAAGACAGTACAAGCAAGCTTGTGGTATTCTAAACCAAGTCTCATCCCTTTTCACTTTGGTTCAAAATGTTGGGTTTTACGTATAATTAAGGCTAAAGATCAAGTCACACATAAATGCTTTCTACGCTCTTAAAAATAAATACATGACAGATTTACAAGTTACTGTACAATGGATACTTTGTACTTTTCACTGGTCATAAATTGATCAGTTGTGCTATGTGATACCTGTTCTCCCTCCAGCTATCAGAAGCCATTTCACATTATCAGTTGATGAGAAATGTTTGATAGTTCCAGTGCATTAACAAAGTCTTATGCCCATTTCATGTCCTGTTCATGACTGTGCATTGTGGGATTAGTGAATATTAGAAATGATATATTTAGAGAAGAAAAACAGACTCAGTGATAAGGGTTAAGAGTATACATGTAGCCTAGCACTCTGCTTTCCTCTGAAGATGTTATCTGCACTGTATGATGCAAAACTACACTATGGACACTTAAGTCCATCTTGCCATTATCACTTCACTGTATGAGCTTGATGATAGAGTGATTTTGTGGCACTCAGATCTGATGCATACAGCACTTACTATTATACTTTTCAACCAAAAAGACTTAAAAACAATTATCATTCATAAATGAGGGTTGTCTTTTTCTTCCTGCCAATAATTACATTTAATCAAAGACAGCAGATGATTTTAGCATCAATGAACCCATCTGCAACAATGAAAAGTCGACAATGAGTGCCGAGTGTTCAATATGGAATGGACAACTAAATTATTTTTTACTGAAGTCCAGTCAGGCTGTAAGTCTTATTTGCCAAGAAACCATTGCGGGTTTAAAGGAATACAACATCAGCCGTCACTTTTCTATCAAGCATGCTAATTATGCTAACAACCAGTCAACCCAAGAACGGACGGCTACTGCTCAGAGGCTGGCAGCTAGTTTGCAGGCTCAGCAAAACACCTTTATCTGACAAACTGCCATCCAAGAATCAAGCACGA